TAACCTCTGTTTGGTTAACCTAATCAGCCACCCTGATCATGATTATGCCCCTCGATGTGTACACTTTATCCGCAATGTGCGTACTGAATAAACTTGCTCCATGCTACACGTCTATTTCCTTTATAGCTGGGGCTATAGCTTAGCTGGTTCTGGGAGTCTAGCTATTGTTGGAGAATCTGCCACAGAGATTTCTGAGTCAGTCAGGTTTTACTAGTGAAGCAATCCGCTACACACTTACATACGTGGAAGAATGAGCCGGGACGCTGTAGAAGTCCTACCTCAAGCGTATTTTGAATTCACATTTCTTTCATAATTTCACTAAATGCATAGGCTCGCTGCGTCATGGCCGACCGTTCAGTTCAGTTATTCTACCTTAGTTTATATAACAATTATTAATTGCTACAGAAAGCAAAATATGTGGCTTAAAGTGTCATAAGTCTGTTCGTTTGCTTTTAAATAATCAATGCTCCACTTTATAGGGGGGGGAGTTGACCAAAAGGCCACCATAGGGTTATTTGAGATTGCTACTGGAACTTGGCAATGCACACCACTCTAAGCCATGCTGATGAGTCCAATTTAATGAATGGCGCATTAAGAATACCTGCTAACAGCGACGAAACAAAAGTTACGTTACATCAAGAATGCAGCAATTACAGAACATTAGTAAACTGAAATATTATTTCAATTTAAAATTTCCATCCACTTTCATGATGACTCAAGTTTTCCTGTCTTTTTAACCATCTGAAAGTGTGAGTGAATAAACTTGTTGGAAAGGTAAATTACCTAAAATCCTGAATCCCTAAGTTGTCCATTTCCTTCTGGGAGAATTCTTGTTGTGATATTCAGAGTTCGTTGATCAGTAGAGACATAGTTGAATGAGTTTATTACAATTTTTAGGTAAAATTATCATAAAAGATTCATAGATGTTTGAAAAAAGCCTAATTGAAATTCGTAAAGTGAAGAATAAAGTAAGTTAAAATTTAGTAGTTTGAAATTGGCAGTCACTACGAGGAATTTATAAATAAATCAGACAACTGGAAGAGAATAATAAAAATGAAGCTAAAAAAGATACAGACCTGGTTTAAATGGACCTGACCGACGCCGATATGCAATTGCTTAGGAATTTAAGATTTAGCTCAAGAAGCTTAAACATTATAACTTTGAAACATGACTCATCCAGTGAAAAGTCCCTTATATAAAGCTTCCCTTTTTAAAGTAGTAAACAGATTAAAGAAAAAATAAGATGTGAAACAGTAGTAATCAACCTGCCTACTTGCGCCACATAAAGATTTGAGTTTAAGGGATGTGATACGAGCTTCCAACATTTGTCTTATTTTACTTAGAAGACGTCTTGAGATTTTCTCAACCTGTCTGTAAAAATTCATTTTCCAAGGTAGGAAATGCCATCTTAAAAGAACGGAAATGGAGGTAATACTATCAGATGTTTCTGACCTACTTGGCATTTTGTCTGATATTTACCCTTAATGTGGACAATGAATAAGTAGTAATTTTGCATAACGATCAACATACACATTTTGAACTAAACAGCTTACAATTTACTGCCATAGACTGTTAAAATAATTAATTTTTGTTCTAAATTTGACCGTGCGCTCACCTTGAGTGAATTCCACTCTTTTGAGTTAGTAATGGAATTATAGCAATGCGGTTGGATTAGAATGAAGCCGTTACTTTTACGTTAATGGTGTTCAAAGCGTACTTTCAACCGAAAAGGGTGATCTTAGAATTTTTCAAGTTATGAAGTCAATAATGCAAGAAATAATAGAAAAGTCAATCAGAACAAAAGTGGATACCAAATGTACAAGACGGAACTTCTTAAATCTAATCATGCTCTCACTTCAGTAGACCTATCGTCGAAAATTGTATGCCTCTTCGTACAGTCAGAGATAGGTACAGCTCTTTACAAAAGTAATAATTAGCGATTGAATGAAAGTTATGTGATTTCAAAATTCTGCCCTACTTAAAAAGTTTTACTTCTATTTGACCTTAAGGGCGCCACATCAATCACATAGCTCTAGAGAATAAATTCACAGCCTATCGATAGAATAATCACATAAAGCCGTAATTTCAGACTGTCTGTTATATAATTTATAGTGAGTTGTGGCCAATATCTCGCAGATTAGAACGATTGACAGACTCGCAAGGAATTATCCCCGCCCCAATTATAGAGCAGGGTTTTTGCCTACGAAGAAAATGAAAAGTCGATAGGAATTATCGACGCCAAGGATAAGTTCTATTACGCACCTCAAACAGTAGCTTTATCATTTTGCTCTTAAATTTGTTACCAATCTTCAATCGTTCAGTTCCAACTAACATATGTAATGAAGCTGTTGGATCAATTCATTATTAGCAATTATTGCTACAATTATTGCAATATAATAGATTTCTCCTTGTTTAATAGAAATACAAAGCTTATAATTCATTTCTCTTTGTTTTAAGGATTATAAAATTTTTTTGAGGGGGGGGGGAGGTGAGAGATTTACATATAAATCAATACATTTTCATCCTAATAGTAATCAAGAGACCTATATTCCGACATCAAATCTGTCTGTTCTTGAGGAACATCAGTGTCAAGGATGTCGTGATTGTCCATAAATTCTTCCGGAGCATAATCTTCAGGTACAGTGGACATTTGACCGTCTCTGCCTTCGTCATCCGTAAGGTATTGCTCTCTTCTTCGAGACAGCATTTTATACCTCTTGCCCTCCTGAAGCATTTCAATAGTCGGTCGAGAGGAATCTGAAGATCTGTCACTCTCATTGTCATCACGATATTTGTTCCGATGAATTAAAGTATTCAAAGGAATTAAGTTGGTTATTCTTAGCTTTTTTTGTGGAGTATGTCTGCGTCGTTTGGGTGGTACTGCAGGGGGTCGTTCACTGTCATTTGCAGTTAAGTTAGCAAAGACGAAATCCTCCAACCCGGATGCAGTTGTTCCACTTATTGAAGCTGCAGTTTTGCGATACTTGATCCAGATCACACCAGCTAGTTCAGCTGCAGATGATGGGCCAACATTCATATTTATGAAGCGGAGAAGAAGGACACCATCTTGACCGAGAATGTCCTCAGAAAAGACTTGAGAGGCTTGCATGTCTTCTTTGGTTTTAAAGATGTCCGAGATGGCGATTTGACTCTTTTGCTTCTCTTTATCGCTGGACGGGAGTTGGCATTTAGAAGCATGGATGTTGAAGTAAATGCATATGAGATTTCGAATGAACAGTACTCGAACGGATTTCAGTAGAATTCTAAAGCACAATTGGAAAATGCTATATTTAGATAAGCACTTGGTTGTTAGAAACTATTATTGTTTTTAACGGAATAAATTGTTAAGTTAGTAATTATTTCCGAGTGAGTTAATAGATGACCCTGTTTTAGGAAAAGTTTATGTGGTCAAAGGTTCTTTAACTCGAATAAATAGATCATACGTGGTGCTTTGGATAAGAAAACCGTTAGCCATTAAAACGACGAGTATTCTTCTAAATTTGCCAATACATCTTGAGCAAACTCGAGCGGTTAGTTTAAAGGAAGAAATCGCACCTAGTCCCATTTGCCCCCTCTTAGCTGGAACAAGATGGAAGAAAGTCAACGAGGCGCATTGCCATAATATGTATACAAAATATTATATCAGTTTGATCAGAGTTAATTCACCAAACTTGATGTTTTTAACCATTAACAACCTCTACTTGGCTTACAAAAGAGCTAACAGTTTCCTTTTGATGGACAAACATTCGAAACCATTATCGATTCGCTTATAAAATATTGCAGCCATGCGCTCCCTAGGAGACTAAGAATAAATATGTTATATGTTAAATATTTTAATGCATTCGAAAAAAAGAGGTAATTTGCTATGAGTAATGCAGAATAATGGTGGTAAAGAAGGCTGATATATTTAAGGCCATTCACATGATGTTGTGAATTTCGTGTTAGAATTTGTTCATTTTATCTGAATTCCAACAAACCAAATCGCATATTTATCCAACTTGTATACAAAGACCACTAACTTTGTCCCGTGTGAAACTATTTATCGATTGCCCATTTCATACTCTCATATTCGAATGCGAAATCTCGTCATTACCCAATACACTTTTCCGTAAAGTTTGGTAGAATCTTCCGCATTTCATTGTGCTACCTTGTGGGTCCACTTCGCATTAAGAACCCAAGGAGAGAATCTAAATTTACTACCGTATTTTTGTATTGTAAAAACCCCCCAGTTTATCATTGATAAAGGTGATTCGATTGACCCAGGTTTTATTAGGTTGCAAAATACGACAATATTTCCATCTAATTTAAATGCTGAGTCGTTTATATAAACAAGACAATAGGGTAAAATTTAGGGAAAAATTTCCAAGAGTTATCAATAGAACAAAAGTTCTGATATATTTTGGAAGGTGACACGTGAATATGGTCTTTTCCCCTGTTCGTAATTTGATTTAATGGAGTCTTTTAGAGATAGAACAGAAAGGCGTCCAGTGTTCCTGATTGGTGGATTCTAAGCAATGCTACTGATCCAATATTTCTAACAATATTGCAATTATTTCTAATTTAGTCCAATTTCTTAAAGTCGGAACACTATTTGCGCATTCAACCTCCGGCTCATTTAGATTGCACATTGAAGTTCCCCAAAACACAAATTTAATCCCACCAATCTTTGTATTCTTTATTACAGCTACTTAATTTCTTACCTAAGCATAAAATTAATGCGACTAACTTTATTTATTCAGAGGTTGCAAGAGAGTAGGAGGCCCCCGGTCACACACGCTCTTTCTGTCTTTAAATGCATCTTTGTGGAATAAAAAGCTACAACTGCATAGACTGTTTTCGGTTTATGACCAACAACCCCCCCCCCTCCCACTCTCCTCTGCCCCTCTAAAGGGAACAATTAGAGGCAGTTTATGAGGTTCACAAAGTGTATCATTTAACATCTCATATGTTACGAAATTGAGCTGCCAGGCACAATAGATAGTCAGGCAGGCTTGTGAAATGGGAGATCTGGATTATAAAGGGTTGTTAATTCCAATGGAGGACGGCTGTTTAAAACGCTGATTAATTGTAATCAATGGCATTAATTAACAAAATCGTTGATTAAAACATTTTATAACAGTAATAATATTTAAAAAGGAAGGAGAATAAATAAAAACAGTTAAATGTTTGAACTATTCAAGTGACATTTTTCCAGTTAGACGTTTGAATATTTCCTGCTAAATATAATTTCATAAAATTAGAGGTTGGACAAAACACATTTAAATTATGTCATCAATATTTGTTGATCCGATTAATATTTTCAAGCAAATTGCTCCAGAAAATATCTGTTTACTTCAACTAACACCGAGTATGGAGATAAGAGTTTTATAAATAAATTCGATATCTAACAAATCATAAAATCCCGCATAAATAAAATCTCAACTCACCTGTTTATTGCATCCAATATCTTTCAAAACTAAGTTCAACGATAAGTTCAATATCTACAATTGCCTGAAACTATGAAGATCCGAAAAACGGCCCAGTACAATGTTACTGCATTTATACGTTACTGTATATCAGTTTAACAATCACATGTATTGTGGTTGAACAGTTTTAACTGTTGCTGCAATATAAATGATTACATGTTTCCCTATCGACTAATGTGGGAGGTAAAAACTGAAGTGCCAATAATGACCATTGTGATTAAAAGAGTTTCACTAGGTGCTAGATAACGTAGGATTTATTCAGAAGAAAAATCATGGAGTTTAATCTTTAGAACATTACTGACCAATTTTGAGTAAAAATGTTGCATAACTAAAATAAAAAAAACAATTGGAGCTGGGCTCTTCGGTGCCTCGACATTACTCCAAACATTACCAAGATCACTTCGCCTCTTTGCTTATTGGACTTTCTGTTAACCGATTTGAATTACTTCTGAAATTAAAATAGTTTGAAATATTCCGTAATACATTGAATAATATTAAGTATTATGATGTATTTACATGTTTACTATTGAGTCACAAAAGAAATTGATCAATTTTTAATTGTTTAATGTACAGTGTTCCATAACCCAGACCAAAGCTACAGGGTTATTTGCAATCAATATTACTTTTTCTTGGCTAAAATACTCTTTCGCAACAGCAAATTAGTTAAAAATAAAACTAGCTAACTAAATAACCCAAACATCAGCTCAATAGGTGAACTAAAAGCTGTCCAGTGGCCAAATTCGTTATCTGATTATTAGCGATTTGCTAATACAGTGGTTTTAAGATCAGATTGGGGGTAGAGCTAGAGGTGATCAGATAAGTAATCCCACCTCACCATTTATAAGTGACCACTTTTTAATGGCATCTTGGTAGTAAAAGACAAATCGCTCCTTTTATAATGATTCAAATTTGATAGGCATACAATAGCTGTCTTGAGACATTTTTTTTCAAAATCAGAGATTTTTGTAATAAAAAGTCTCATGCTGGAATCCTAAACATATTAATGAAAAACCTACAAACATTTGGCATTTAAAAAGGAATGCGTATGAAAAAAGAAGTGAAAATACTCCATAAAGCAATATCTGATAGAAAAAGGAAGCCATATAATAATAAAGTAGAACTGTCACTTCTTCGATAGCTGAACAATAGCTCACTTATAACACCATTTGAGGAGACTGAGCAGATTTAGTACGCTGACCAGGAAGAACCAGAACCACAAAAAGATGTAGATCTTCTCGTTGAAGATGTTTATACGAAGAACACACTGAATGGTGTAGCGATGCTGATTACTACCCATTTGTCGTAGTTCAAAGTCGCAGAGGGCAACTCGAGGAAATGAACCAGTCTGATCCCAGAATCGCGTATTCATTAGATCTCGTAGAGCTTCGATTCCAAAGATAAAGATTTCGCCGTTGAGGTACCTGCAAATAATAAAATAAGGTTCATACATTTAGGGTCATTTTCACAATGTGATAAGCTGAGAAAAGTCAGATGTTATCTATTTTAAGCTTAATCCACTTCAATTAAAAGCTATGTATATCTCTAATGAGAGTGGGGGTAATCGTAGTTTCTAAATCATGGCTACATTCAGGGCGACAGTTTCTGCATCAATCAAATTTGTCATAGTTTTCGATATGCAAGATTGCGATCGTAAATGTATCGATAGCCTGTTCTTAAAAATTGGTATTTTTGAACGTTTTCCCTAATATTCTTTGAACGAGGTAATTCTGGCGTAAATTTCTGAAAAATCCAAAACTTCAGACTAATCTCCTCAAATTGAAGGGATAAATTGAAAGATTTGAATCGGCTTTGCCAACCTATTATAAAAGTCGATTTTTGCCAGGGCTAAATAGAGACTCTAGAAATAATCGACTCTTTTCAAGACAAATCACAATATTTGCAATATGTAAATAAACGAATCCTGTAAAAGAGAATGTGGGAATATGATAAATTAAAAGCATTTTTTCACCAGGTAAATTTGAATCTAGTAGAGGAGAAATTATGCGTATTCTCTTGCCAATTTTTTGCCTTTGAACAGAAAATATTCACCATTTTCACTGAGAAGAAAAGCAGTCTTTCGTCGTATTTCCACTTTTATTCGCATAAAAGATGCATTAGCAGAGGTAATTTTATTTCTTACCTTCTAATTCAAGGCATATGAATAATGGGAAATCATCTCGAAGGTGTAAACTTAACATTTAAACAAAATGTTTTCAAGACATTTAAGATTTTTAATGAAATGTTAAACATGCTGCACGTAAAAAGTAAATCTGATGGGACATTAAAACGTGTGTGCCAAAGTAAAAATGTATTGAAAATCTACTTACTGAAACTTAGTTAACGTCATGCCGGCGATCACGACAATGATAGTTAGCTTATCTCGATTAATTTAGATGCATATAGACACAAATTTTTCCCTCGAATTATTGAAATTATTAAACCTCACAACAAGAAGGTACCAGTAACTTAAATAAATGATGAGGGGGATGGATCTAAATGACATTAGAGGGCCACCCATTATTTTATTTATTTCGGATTCAAATTGTAGAACAGATACTTGCTGGTTAGTCCCTATTCATGGGTTCATAATTTATTTAGCGTACTGAGTGGACTCTTGGCCAGGTTATTCACTGTTATTGACAGTTCAATTGACCAATCAATTTACCTTATTATATTTCCCAAAGACTGAGAACAAAGGGAGTGATTTTGAATAAGATTAAGTAGCCTACAGGATCTTGACATTTCAGAGCCCAGTTAGTTACAATTGTAAGTTAGTGGAGTACAGAGAACAATTTCCACAGTCATCCCTTCAATGTTGACATTTTCTAAGCTCCGCACAAAGTCCTGTTTAAAGTTTCTGAACACGTCTTGTTGGGAGCCTTTTGCATATTCATGCAGAGGGGATTACAATTTTTACGATTTCACGTTAAATATTTAATCGAAAAATTTCACCTTAGCTAACGACTGCAAAAATTCTCCTAAATCTATTCCAATTTTATGTTTACTTTTATATAATTTATGCGATGAAATTATACATGCTTAAGATAATTTAGGAACTGGCTTGTAATACACAGGATTTTAGGAATTCGTGGCTGTTGTGAAAGGCAAATTTACTTGTGACGTAAAAATAAAAACGTTTTCATGTTAATTTAGTATTGACTGATATATAAATAAATAAATTCATTGACCATTTTATTTACCTCTTTTGCTTAAGGTGTTTGAAATTCAAGCCTGTATCCATAGCTTTCCTCATTCATTACTCACATATAATACTTTACAAAAGCTACGTCTTTATTTCAGAGATGTTTGCAAAGTTTGAATTGAATGCAAGCATGAATATCATAGGATTAAATAGATCCATTTGGATGAGTGCTGCATATTTCCGTGTCCCCATTAAAAAGTTATTTTCATTAGAACTCATCATAAATTAATAGAAAAGAACTCTAATTAACAATAGAAAAGAGCTCTAATTAACTTCAATTAGTTTAGTAATAATCAAGCTCTTAAGTAACTTGGAGCATTTTTGAGCTGAAAATTGCTCAATGCAAGGAAAATTTAAATAAATGTCTTTTGAAATTAATGAATAATGAAAATGAATTAATGGTATTCCCTAATGTTAATTTTAAATCCAAAGTATTGGAATGAAATATTTAATAATATATTTTGATATTATGGATCTGAATAACTGCGCGAAATCAGATAAAAGCTCTATTGAATTTTGCGTGATCAAAATGCATTTATCTTACTCTACCATCTTTAAACCTAAAATAACGAGTTAATTTTAGTAATTGCAGTAAATTCATTTTGATAATTTTGAAGTTGTTAATAAATTACTCTCCGAGTTTATTTTTCCGATTTCAAAATACACCTGGAAATAATAATAATCAATAAGTAAGGATACGGATATGTATGCATTATAAACTCCTAAGAGGGAGAGTTGTTTAAAAAACTAGGTTAAGTATTAAACTAAATGGATATTTAATATTAAGTTACTCCAAGTTATTAAAATATGTTCCAAGAGCGAAACGCAACTTATGTCTATGGAGCACTTTAAAGTCTAAAATGGCTTTGCTAGCCTGCTCCATCAGTAATTGGTTTTAAAAAATCGGAAATGAATAAGAGTTTTATGATAAATAAAATAAAATTAAATGAAAAGACGAATACTAAAGATCGCAAACAGTAGCGTTGGAAAAATTGAAATTAAATTTTCCACCTTTCAAACAATTAATTATAATTGGAAAAAAAATTTGTTAACAGATTTAACGTCATCTCCCAGTAGCCTAGTTGCAAATTAAGACATTAAATATATCTAAAACTTTGCATTGTCATGGGTAATAAAGTCGATATAACAACAGTTTTAATGCAAAAATTTCACCTTAGAACAATTTTTGAAATAATTTTGATTATTGCGTCTTTAAAACCGATAATTAAATAGTTTACTTTTACTTTAAAGGGTAACATTGCACGAATTTAATGGTTATATCTTGAACGGTATTAAGTCTGACATTCACTCACCTTTTCTAACACGCCGAAGTGGGACTATGAAAATATTTGGTTTCTTAGCATTTTATTCGACGGCATATGTTAAACTATTTAAGTTAACCAGCAGCATATATGAAAGTTGAATAACTTGTATTCAACCCATATTTAAATTCACGTTTTAATGGATCTACACCACGAGGAAGTAAAAAGCTAGGATGCAGAAAATGATCGGTGAATTTACTTTGTGCAATCGTCCGAGAAGCTACGTTATTTCAAAATTGGAGTTTACTAAACTCCAGTGAGCACTTATAAAATATCTAGTAGTAGATTTCATACGAGACAATTGCTTTCTGACAGAGCGATCACTGAATCAAATTGATTTATTTGCTAGCATGTCCTTAGTATATCAGACATATAATTAACCTGAAACATTGAAAGCATTATGAAATCTTTGGCATATGAGAATATTTTAAAGAAGATTGTCTATAGTTGAAACTGTAAGTCGGTTGTCTATCACCTCAATCTTTAATTAATCTATGTATTTATCGTGGAACGACTTATAATGCAGAAAATAAAAAAATATATACTGTGCCCTTTAGAATTATAGATTACTACTGATTTAAGTAAAATGAGATTTTATTAAAAGAATAACATTCTACCCGTGGTTTAGGTAAAATTTTAGGCTTATCGTCCAATGAATGCGTGATTCTAGTTATGAGTATTAAAATAAGTGGGTAATAGAAACTACTTAGAATAGTTTCTAATTTAATTTTAGTTAAGAATCTATTACAGATACTTTGAGACACTAGATGGAGGTCTGAACTTCCGGATATCTGTGGAAAGTCAAAAAGTATAACTTGACATTTTTAAACTGATAAGCTACAAGAATATTTAGACAACATTAATAATAGTTGAGGCAATTTTAATCAAAATGAACGTGTTCATTCTGAATTTACCTTTAATAAATAGCTCCAATTGTAAAAATTTAAAACAACTTCTTCAACTTATCAAATTATTCAGTTGGTATGATCACTCAGTTAAAAAATTACGCTGTTTCCATTAGGGTTAATTAAAGCTGATCTCTCAAGTAGAATCTGAAATTATGAGTTCAATTAACTTGATACAAGGCTCTAATAAGTTTTAACAGAAAATATTCTTAATCAAAAATTACGCTGAAGTTCTTGCTTGTTTAATTTAAAATGATTTTAATAGCGCCCATTTAAATTAAAATATTAAAATCAAATAAATAAAAAAGAATAGTTAAACATTGTTTAAAAGATTTATCCAAATACACACTTTATGAAGTATTTAATTTACTATCACAGTTTAATTTATCCATGTTCAAGCTTGAACTACTTCCATGGTAGTTCATGGAAATGGAATGGAACCACCTGTAATGATAAATTACGATAATATGACATGAAATCAGCTTCTTTTGCTTATTTTTAATCTTTAAATATTCAAATTATACAAAATATAACCAATTATTTGTAAATTAAAAAATACTGAGGATCATGGTTTCTCACTTTACCCGAAGTTTAAATTGAAAGTCATCGGTAAATTAAATAATTTTTATTAGTCGGAATTTTTGTAAACGCCTCTTTGAGCTACGTTAAAATAAATACCAACATTAAAGCTTCACAGAATTGGAAATAGCAGTGGTGTGACTACTTATTTCGTCTTGATAAATTTGAAACATTTACTTTCAAATGATGACAATAAAAATACCCAGTTTTGGAAATATATTCCGAAAAGCGTGAAAACAATTCCATATTACCAGGATTTTCTATAGATGAATTGAAGTAATAAACGCAATTTATATCGAGGGTGAAGACGACTAAGAAATCTAATTTGAATATTCAATTTTTAGAAATGTTTTCGTTTGGTTTCTTTTGTTATTTTAATCCTTCGTAAAATGTAGTGCTGAATGTTTTAGATATTTAGTTCGAAACCTTATTTTAGTGCAAA